AACATTTTGCTCAAGTGTGAGGCAGTTCCACAGCATTGAATGTACTACGGAGTATTGGATCTTTGCAAGAACGATCATTTATTAATCAACTAATCTTTGGTAAGCAGCTGCACTTACTACTACATGTCTTATAATAGGATGTACATACATGGATGCAATGATACAATTTGCAAAGCGTTGATTGTAGATGTCATTCTCGACGCCAATAAGAAGAACAATATCTTAACTTGTACAATGGTTTTGCGTTTGTTGTTAAATCTAGATTGCAACACTATTATATCGTCAATATTATGGTTGTAGTAACAAGCATTGAATAAGAGAGAACAACAAAAATGTCTACTTCTGACAAGTTTTCACTACCGATACCACCGAGATGGTTGAAATGCCCACGTCGTGGAAACGTCGTTGCAGGTTCGTACAATATCTTCAACAGCCAAGTTAAAACAACAATTTATCCTTGCTGCAGCCATGCTAAATGCTCAATGTTTGCGATTCCCCATTCTTTGTTGTCTTTGCATATTATAGGCAAATTTTTACCTTTTAAAGTACCTCTGGATAGTAGATACAACGAACAAATTCCTATTGAGGATCGATTCGATATCAATATGCTCTTTCAATTTACTAACGCATACAAGGTTAGCTAGAATTTTAAAATTTTACTTGAATCTATTTTTTAATGTAGGAATATGACGTAGACTGTTATCTTAAAGTATACTACAGTTAAATCTTAAGTATCATCTACAACTTCGATACTGCATAATTTTACTGTTAATACAACGTTATAGAGTGAAATAAGACATACCAACTACATTAATTGAACACCAGTTTATTAACTTCATTGCATATCAAAGTAGACAACTATGCGAATGTATCAAATCATGTCTATAAATTAATATTTTTATTCTTCTACCCCATGATTATAGATCAATTTGGGATTGATCATTGACTTAACCAACACTGATCGCTTTTATAGTAAAAGCGAAGTAGAATCCAATAATGCTGGTTACTTAAAATTAAGATTAAAAGGGTAAATTGTTGTAATTATGCCTAATTAATTCACATTTAACGGTCATGAAGTAACGCGTTACCACAATAAAATGAAGCATAAACTGCTACTAAAAGTTGTACTTTAATAATCCAATCAGTTGGCTTACCTACACACTGATGATAGTCATGCTATCTCTTTAATTACAACTTGTTTGCTAAACTTTTTTAAATATTTATTCCACTAGTCATGGTGAGGTTCCTTCTCCTGACCAATGCACACTTTTCATCGAAATATGCATGAAATTTATTCAAAATAATCCTAATAGCGTAATTGGTGAGATTGAAGACCAGATAGCATGTCATGCGTAATTATAGTCAGCTTTTGTATCACGGTTATGATTCGATCTTAATCAATATCAAAATTATTTCCATATTTCGTCTATCTGATAGTACTGTAGATGGATTATAGTTCTACACTACTAATAGTAAATCTATAATTTCATAACATCCTTAAAATAATTACAATTCGTTTCAATTTATTCATTTGTTGATATTCCAATAGTTTATAATTTATAATAGTCCACACTTTAGAGTTTGTTTTTTATCACCTCAAGGTATCCACTGTACCCATGGATTCAATAGAACAGGATTCTTAATATGTTGTTATCTGATAGAAAAAGAAGACTGGAGGTATGCTGCTCATAAATGATTACAATTACGCAAGTGGTATTACCCTTTAGGAAGACGCATTCTAACTAGTTCAACGTTAACATAAAAGCAGTGTGATAATAATAATGTTGTAAGTTCGGTACAAAGTATTTACTAGGTGTTAATTTCAGTGCAATAGTATTATACACCTTCAAGCTTTTCTCATTCTATTATTGCTTATATACTCAAATCTTTACATTGTACCTTACATATCATTTAAGTACTGTACATAGACTCTCTTGTATCTGACCTATTGACATACCTAAATTATTAAATCTGCCGTATACTCAACATTGGATTATTATTCTTTTATTAGTGTCCAAGCCGCTTTACGCGAATTCGCCAGTGTAAGCATACATTTTACCTATTATTTAAATATTTTATAGCCGGCTCTAATGTATACATATATATGCATACATATTATAGTAAATAGCTATCATGCAATGTGCTTGTACCATTCATAAATATTTTATAAATTTCGATATTAATATCCCCCAAGAGTGTCTTCTATCTAATTAGTTTACTGTAATCATTTTTAAAAGGCTCGATCTCCTGGTATATACAAAGGTTATTACATGAAAGAATTGGCGCAACGGTATGATCCAAATGGCGACTTTGATTATATATCAGCGCCTGAATTGCCTGAATGGTGCAACGAGGATCCACATAGTGACGAAGAGATTGTATCTTCTCGAAAAAAGAGGAAGCGTAACGAGCATTTAATCTTGGTTAGTCTTTATTACTATTTGCGCTTTTTCGGTAAAATTATCGAATAAGAACACAAGTTTGCTATCATGATCAATACCTATAGTCAATGTGATATAAAATACGTATAGATAACTTAGTAACTCTACAATAGGATCCTAAATTTATGGAAGGAGTCAGAGGGCCAGTGCCTGTCCGTGATCAATCATTGTCTGATTTACAAGAACTTTGTCAAGAGAAATGTGGATGGATGGAGTATGTTAAAAAAGCTGTTGTTATGCTTTACTATTTCGCATAGTAAAAACTAACATCGTTGCATGTATAATTTATAGGGGAGGATTTCCCGGTAGCCAGCCGGTATCTTTAACTTATAATAACATTACATTACTAAGAGATAGAAGGTATCGAGTAAGCTGGAAGGCAGATGGTGTTCGGTAAGAGTTAAGCTCAAATGTTGCATAGCTAACTGGCGGGTTACTCCATCTAATTATTTTTTTGTTAAAAATTTCCCTAGTTATATGATGTTAATACATAAAAATGATGAAATCTACATGATCGACCGAAACAATTCCATATTCAAGATACCTCACTTAAAATTTCCTCGCGGATCTGATCTGAATAGCCATATCGAAAATACCCTATTAGATGGTGAGATGGTCATCGATAAAGTTTCCACTCCAAATGGAGATCAATATTATCCCCGTTATCTAATATATGATATCATTTGCTTCGAGGTAGACCATATTAACAGTTTTTGAATAATATTTTAATTCAAAAAATTAAAACCGTTTTACCATGAATAAAGTTGTTTCTTGCGTAATGTGTATGTTTCAAGGATGAAAATGTTGGTAATAAAAAACAATCAGAACGCATGGCAATCATAGAGAAAGAAATTATTAGTCCTCGAAATCAAGCAGTAAGAAAATATTTTCTTATTAGTCTATCGTACTATCTTGTTAATGAACCACATTTTATATACTCATACGCGTATATTTTGTTGCCTATACGTATATATCATCATTGCTTCATAATTTCTCTTTCGTTACTACAGGCTGCTCGTGGAATTGTAGATAAAACTAAGGAAACATTTAGTGTCAGAAATAAGCAGTTCTTTGATGCTAAAGATGCTAGATATGTAAGCCTGTTTGTCTATTATAGTCGCCATTCTTAAATTGAAATGAACATTTATTAACTTTTAATTTCGGTTCAGGTCCTCGATACCTTTACAAAAAAGGTATTTCATGAGACAGACGGTTTAATATTTTCTCCGGAAGACGAAGTAAGCAGATACAATTGTTTTCATATAACTTTATAGCAGTGTAACGCAATATTGAAAACGCTTTTTTCTTACAGCCGTATATACCAGGGAGGTGCGACACCGTGCTTAAATGGAAGCCTGCTGAATTAAATACTGTAGACTTCAAACTCCATCTTGTAAAAGTTGAAAAACACGGGTAATATAGGCAAAGTAATTTCGTTTCCTATTCTCAGTTTATCTACAAGACAAACCTTACGTAAAATATATATATATTTTATACGCGTAAAATGTGTGAAATTTGTTGTGACTTCACTGCTTATAGTTGCCTTCCTACGAAAGAAGCGCGTTTACATGTTGGCTATGGCAATTCACAACGCCATGTAGCAACTATTCCAGTAAGACTAGTGACTGACATGCTACTATAGCTAGATATTATATATATATTATTTTTAATGGTCTGGCTTCTTTCTAATGCAGGTCGTATTTGGTGCTACATTATAAAAATTTTAATTTTCGCTTAATTGCCCTTAAATTTTATAGGGTAAAGGCCTAAATAAATTCGATAGTAAAATTGTGGAATGTTGTTTAGATGGCAAAACTAGAACTTGGAAAATTCTCAGAATTCGTGAAGATAAAGCCTTCCCTAATGCTCACAGTACATTTATAGGTAAACGATCTTTATATGCGCGTACAGATAGAATGATATTATCCAGTAGAAAGCAATATAATTGATATTGTTGGTATATTTTATTTTTATAGCTGTTTGTAATAGTATATTAATGCCAATCACCAAAGATACCTTATACTATGTTGTTGAAAAGCGTGCATTACCTCCGGAACTGATTGAAAAACTTAAAAAAACACAAAGTAAGACTATGTCAAGACGAGACTCGGGTTCATATAGTAGTAATGAGGGTCATTCCACATCAAACCTGCAAGCTCAGCAAGCGAGAAAGTTTAAGAGTTCTACTTAACTTTATTGATCAATATTAAACCTAAAGTGAATGACGTAGCTTAATTGTAAACAGCTAATGCGAATTTCTGATGTAGTACTCGTATGATAGAATAATCGTAAATTAATATTATTTCAATGAATAAATTACAGATCAGACCACTTTTACAACTGTACCTACATATTAACTTTTAAACTGTGTTGTTTACAATGTAGCCGAATTTCTGCAGGAAAAAATGTTTAAATTTAATTACATTAAATGAATACTTGATCAATTTTACTATTAAGCTACTAGTACCCATTAGGATGATTACACCGTATTAACTGGCATTGTTGTTTTTTGTACGTACAGTACATGTATATCTTATTAATCTTTCGTTATGTATGTATTTATGAAAGGAAATACTTCTACTGCATTATAACAGAGATAGCAAACTGATATTTCACATGACGTATCATAACAGCGTTAGTTTGATTGGGTACATTGTGAGGAAATTGGTTTAAAAATTGACGTCATGTTGAACGTAGTTGTTACATTATGATGGAAAAGTGTAAATGATAATGTTGTTTTATATTATTTCTGCTTCCTGTTGATCTATTATCGCAATAGAGAACAAACGTCATGGGTAGATGTCACCTTCAAGACAGCTAGACGGCCTCATTATGCAATAATTTATGTAGACACAACTATACAAATATTTCGTTTTTACGCTGTTATTTAAATAGATTACAGACGGAACAGTTGATTTGATACCTTCAATTTATTTCTGCTTAATGAAGGGTATTTTTGTGTGTGAAGAATCTTATTAGTATGTCATGTTAATTAAGGTATTTATTTCTTATTTGTCACAATACGACATTGTAACTCGTTGAATACTGATCTTTAATGTTCCATTACACAAATGGTTTATAATTACTTATTCTTACTGTAGATATCATTAATTATTTTTACGTCCGTTTCGATAAATAGATATACAGCACTACGATAGCTTTAAGTTTGATTATTATTATTATTGTTATTAACGCCAATTTTTTTAAGTTGCATTCGATCATTCAAGTATTATATCTCCACGCCATTTGATGTATATATAAAAGTCGCTACAACATTTGGATAATACAAATGCGAACTACGTATACAAATCTGTTGTAACCTGAAAATTAAATGATTTCTTCACCTATGGAGTAGATTTTATAGCGATCTCGTTATATGAGTATTATTAAGACTGTATTCTGTCTATACTATTTTATATTTACACCATGATATGAAATTTTCCTAATTATAGTAAGGTTTGTATTTAGTTACAGGCACAATAGTTTAGCATATCTTTGCGGCATAGTAGGTTACTATTCCAAATATTAAGCATTACGTATCGTAGATCATAAAATGAACTCTCATACCAGGAGTAAGCACTGTAGTGATGTTGAACTACATTTAAAATTGTCTTTAATTTAGGATCTCCATCTAGTATAATAGAGAATGCATTTATATTACTAACTTACTACCAGTAAGTGTTAACAGTTCAAGAACGGAATGATTTACTCTTCGTAAATTTGATGAAAGTGCAACAGCAGCTCGATCAGAGAATGATAAAGAAAGCGACGGCCATTTCATAGTAATATGGTCCAACTAATAGCCCTATAGTTAAGTTTTTACAATAATTTATAGTTACTTAGATTCTGAAAGTTATTTATTTCATCTCCATTTGCATTGTAGGACCGGTATTATGAAATGTCCATACAATCGCTCTCTTACTATTTCTACTTTTATATAATTGAATGGCTGCTTTTGCTACGTTTACGCAAAGTACTTTTATTTAATGGCATAAATATTTATAAAAATAACCTGTCGGGAATATTTTATAGCTATAACCTTTTGTGTATAGCATTATTGTTATATACTATAACCTTATACAGACAGTTGCAGCAGATTGAATTATATGATTTTACATCATCTAGATCCAATCAGATAATATTTTATGTTAGTGTCTCATTCTTTAAACGGATGTTTTTTTATGCTAGTTATTAAATAAATATCTTGTTGTAGCCAACCTCTGTAGTTCATATGAAAGAATTTATAATTATAGCTATTAGGAGATACAATTATGTAACTTTTAAAGTCATTTTCTCTTGAAATTAATAATAATTTGATATGTAGGATACTTACAGTAAGTTAGCATCATAATAATAAAATACCAAAAGATACAGTTATGTATAATCCCATCAAATAACGACCAAATGAAATTTATTAAGTTTAGAATGGCCACCGTTTAAGAAAGATTCTTAAGCGTTAATACTACCTATTAGGAGTATCTATGGCATTACCTGATATTATTTTTTAAAGAAATTGAAGAACGAAGATTTGGTTATTAATGCATCTGTAGTATTATGAATATTAAAGTTAGCATTAAAATAATATAAAAACGAAAGATAGATCAACAAATAACAAAGAATATGCAGAGACATGATGGTAAAAATAATTTAATAACCAATAGTAATTATCAAGATCGAATGAAGTATATGTAATATTAATAACTAGGAGTATTTTGCGGTATTATCCGATATTATTTGGAAATCAAGTGTGATAAGGGAGAGAAATTTGGATTCTTTAAGCATTTATTGTTAATACTACTTCTTGATTATTACCTTGCAGACAATTTTAAAAATATTATTGACTAAGCCGATGATAAACATAACAAATGCGAGCATTATTTCCATTCTTCAGAATAAATAGAAGTATGAGTACTTATTTTAAAAAATTTATGTTATCTAGAGAAAATAAATACAATAATTTCATTTATTGATTAAGACATTAACAGAAATAGAATTGCTATCCAATGATATGAAACCATCTGGATCATCCCTAGAGTATAAACTCATCATGAAAAGTCATCATGTCATCATTATTGAATTGGTAGAAATCAGACTATTATTTGATCGGTATGGTATATCGAAAGAAATAGACCTAAATAGAGAATTGATTCTATTCTTGATTTAATTGCACAAATTGGAATCAATCATGGACAATCATGTATTGACTTTAGGAATACTATGTGAATTAGAGAGTATTCTTACTTTGTTCAGCTAGTACTATAGTCAAGAAAAGGTATAACATTAATTTACATCATAATGTAATACAGTGCCAATTTGAGCACTATAAGGGTAAATTAATTATAATGCGATTAGTGGATCATTTTTATTTTGATTTATTCCTATTTATAGGGAATAATACCGTAGCCTAGAAAAATGGTAATGATATCAGCAACTGGTATACTATAGATGAATTAATCGAGCTTCCACGATGAGTATCGTCTATTTTGTTTCCTGTTTTGATGATCATTGAGGAATTAATATAGCCAACGAGGCTATGGTAAAAAACCAATGTCTACTATGCATTAATCCATTCAGCTACCATCAATCTATTTGTAACTTGCAATAAAAGAATAAAGTTTATCATCATTTAGTTATTTCCTAGTAATAAAATGTTATTATTATTATTAGCCATCAGTTATCGATTATTTCCTAGCAATAAAAATGGGGGTATCACTATCAGCGATTGCCTATCATTGAAAATTCTCATAATATTTAATTTATAGTAGATCGAAGTGATGTAATACTATGCTATTCCTTCTCATCCTTTCTATTCAATGATATCAATATCTGCATGTCTTTGGTAATGAAAGGATCTATTGTATTCTATTTATTTTCTTTCTAGGATAAACCTATGAGAAATCGTTGATGCTACTTTGCATTTAGGAAATAAGCGAAATATTGCAGTCTAAGAGTCTGAATCATAAGGAAAAGAGTTGATAAACTCGATCCAATTTCATCAATAATTTTTTAATCTTTCACTTAACCCTATCCTAGATATTGTACAATCCAATGAGAATCGGAAGGAAAACATTTTACCGCTAAATGAATTCTAAATGAATTCTCCTTCCGTTCAACAATAACCAACATAATATATTGGCTAAACGTTAAAAATCGGAAGAGAAAATCGATTGAAAATCTAATTTCACTTATTTATTCTACAACCTTTAATATTATAAGTGCAATTTAAGCTTGAATTGGAATGGAAAGATTTTATTGCCTATAATTGTTTAATCCTGCAAATATTTGATTAAAATTATCTACTTGATCTGCATCTTTTATGTACCGCACCCTCAATGAATTATTATCGTCCAGAGACTTCTATCATTGCTAGTATTGTCTAGAAGTTTTATATTCTTTTTCAGTAGTGTATAAGAAGTTTAAATATTCGACTTTTTATTTTTCACATTGATATTTTCCTAATATGAAGCACAAGTTTTGTATTACTTTTTCAAAGGTGTATGAGAAAATTGAAATAGTCCAATTTTTCACATTACTATTTCCTTTATGAAGCAAAGGTTTTGTATATGTTTCAACCGTGTCCAAATATTAGAATGAACGCTAGAATATTTAATCATCGATCAACTATTTAGTAGTAACAATCTCCGATCATAGAAGAATTCATAAATGAATTTTAGAATAATTTAAGCTGAGTTCCAAGGTAAAATTTAATCTCTCGTTACTATCCGACACTGTCAATAAAATCTATAGTAGCATCAAATGAATGAATGGGTAGAAAATTGGATAATTTCGACCAGAATAGTTCCATGTTTATTGTAATGGATAGTTAATTTAATAGGACAATCGATTACGGTAGTTTATTCTTTATCCATATTTTTCTCACCTAGAATAAATCATTCTATTTGGGCATAGACGTTGACTAAGGTTAAAAAGATCAATTTACGAGGAAGAAAGTAGAAAAACTCAATTCAAGTCATAGAAATTCAACATGAATAGAAAGAAATTCACAGTTCGCCGTCTATAGTCGTCAAGTAACGCATTGAATTGATCAACATGATATCAAATTACATGGTGATCCTTTATATTGCCCTGTCATGATGTATTCTTCTGTTGCTAACATTAACCTTATTCTATACTTTTATTCTAGTTTACTTGTTTTTTCCTTTGACTCGTTGTCTATTTCAATAGAAGAGAAAATTCTACAATCGATCATGGATAGTTGACCATATTCCATCAATAAGATAGAAACTACTCATCATCATATACGGCAATATAAGTAAGAGTTTATAGATTTTAGTGGAAAATACTTTCGCAACATGGCCTGATCAAAATTTAATCTCGACTCGAAAGAATATTTACCAAGGCGCTTCAATCAATCCCCAACATTTTATTTCATTTTCTAACTATTCACTATGAGAATAGGACAGTATGTTATTCTATTTTTGTCAATACATGTTGGCAATTTTAATTCAAAAGGAAGTCATGCTGTCACTATCAACGGAAATAAAAGGCTGGATCTTAAGTCGGGTTGATCAATAACACCCACCATTGTTGCTGCCTATTTAAACGAAGTTGAAAGATAATAATAGTTGAGTAAATTTGAATGCTAGCCGACAATAGTCTGATTTGGAAATGATGTACGTATAAAACATAACAGAAGTTGGATTTGATTAGCATTTAAAGAAGTCATCAACATATTGATTGTATTAAGGTTTTATTTTTGCATGAATATTCAATGAAAGTCAGTGGTTATAGAAGAAATCATCAGTCATAATACGTTCATTTCATTCCTCCTTCGCTTTTCCCCTGTCCAACCTGATAGTCAATATCTGCTATTTCACCGACCTATTATCGCTAACATTCAGCTACCATCGTCGACAGATCATTAAAAGTAATTTCAATTTCCAATTCACGAGTTTAAATCAGTCGTGGATTTATGTTGAACTACTTTGAATTGAGGATAGCCATAATGTTGTCATGAGTTCTGACTCGATCAGTCTATTTTTTTTTTTTTCCGATCTGGATTAATTCATATATTGAAAGTTGGCCTATTTTCTCTCTCTTTTCTTCTCTTTTTTACATAGTCAATGTTGTGTTTACGAATGAAATCATTTCGCTTGTTGATTTTTCTTTCATCTTTTACTAGGGAATAATACTACCGACAAGATTGGCCACTAAGCCATCCAGTTCTCTCGCTTCTTGTCCCCCCGTATTGATCAGCTAATTCATTTTAGCTACACTAAATTAATGATTAATTTATGGGGTTCAGTATTTCAATTGATTAAACAAGTAGTCAATGCCTTTAAGCATTGATCATTATGATTATTTTGTCTTGATTATACAAATTGATAGACTATTAAAGAAAAAATTTTCAATCGTGTAAGACAGAAAGAATCAATTCTAAAAGTCAAGTAGAATTTATTGATTGCATTGATATTACCACACAAGAAAAATCATGAGTGTTCGGTCATCACTAACATTGAAAAATATGCCAGTTAGCGTTGTCCGTTCTAGGAGCGAATATTCCGATGAGATCCTATCCATGAATAGTTTATATGATAGGCAATTACAAAAACAACTAGAGAAATATGATAAGAATACTCAAGCCTTAAAAAAAAAAATGGCTAAAGAGAAAGCCAGTCTACTTCGAAGTGTTAAAGCAGTAGCAGCGATTGCTGGAACTAGCCAAGATAAATCATCTGCTATGATGAGACCTCGATCGCAAAGTATGGTCGTTGCTAATAGCAATGTTACATGCGCCAAATATTCATCAAGACGCGGTAGCAATAGCAATTATGCATCGAATCCTGATATAGTAAATCATGCTATTGCTGATAGGACAACGTCTGATCCATCATTGAATAATGAAGAAGAGGCAAAAGTCCGACCAAGAAGTAATTCAACTGGTCGCTCTAGACAACGACTTCATAGCCTAGGTAAAGGGATACCTAGATCCTCGTCTCTTAATCAATCTCTAAATCGAAGAGAAACATCATCTCCGAATCAAAAAGAAACAACATCACCAACTGCAAAAGAAACAACAACTACAGTCACCGTCACCGATACTAATAATAAGATTATCAATTCTCAAGTTAATCATTTAACCGCTGAAATGGATGAAAAATTCTTACTTGCTCGACCACGTAGTTCCACCATAGGATCGGAAGTATCTCGAGAGAAAAAAGTACGAGACATCCATTACATAAGGAGAAAATCAGCTGAAAAGCTATATGGAATGAAGAATAATCCAGCCATCCATGAAATTGTTTCCGATCCTGATAAATCGAAAAGGTATTTTAGAAGATCTTCTTATGCTCAAGGTGAACAACGTGCTAAGTTAGCATTACCGTTTATGGCGGTTCGAACAACAGCAGAAAATTCCAAAATGCATTTACCTCAAATTAAGACTCCTTAATTTTCTTCAACAACGACAACGAATACATTGGCCTTCTATTATGATAGAATACAAACCGTCATTATCCATGGCTTTTTAAATATTAAACAAATTGCAGTATTCCCTATCGTAGGAAAGGAAGTAGGAAAGAATGCATTATGGATTGGTATGCAATAGATCATGACAACTCTTATCCGTACCATTTACTTCCAAAACAGAATAATGCTATCTGTTAGTGCTGTAGGATTATTTCGTCTTAATTTTGTCTCAACCGATGAATTTAAACCGTTATTTTTGCTCTACTCCTTTATTACATACACGCTTAATTCATTTCATCTACGTTTTGACTAATTAAATATTATAGTAAGCAATCATTCTGCACAGAATAATATGTCTAACTATATTGATATAATGATGGCAAGTTAACATAGAAAGGTTTTTAATCGAATCTATTTTAACTGGATGATTGCAAGTCAAGGCTCTAGTTCAATCAACTTTAACTCTTCCATAGAAGTTATAACTTACCCTGCTACATTATTTAAATTTTTTTATAGATTCATTATTTTACAATGAGATTGAGTAAGATGTCATGGAAACTTTTGCTCTATTTGTACACTATTACCGATCGTATACTAGCGATCTTAATCGATTCAGTTTTTCTATTTTTGAGCATAAAATGATATCGCAATAGCAGTAAGTCTATCTCAAAGCTCCATCATTAATTAATTAATTTTGTATGCTATTATGAACAACGATAATCGATAGCCTAATATCGATTAATTATTCTCTTAAATTAGCCAGCCACGAAAAGTGAAAGAAAGTGATGATAGGCGTAGGAGAGAATAATATGGAGGATAGATTAACATTAAAAATTTAGCCATATCGAATCAATTTCATACTTCATTTGTCATTATAATTAATTCTGTTAGATTATCTATATAATTGCTCTATGCCGATCATATTAATATGATGATAATTTAAACCTTCCTATCCATTAAAAATGAATCGATCATCGTAGACTAATATACCGTAGCTTTAGATTCGACAGTCGCTTTATGTTCTCTTCTCTCTTTCCTCTCTATGATAATTAAGCACTTATAGCTCTGTATTAGATAATTTTTCGCTGAGAACTCATTGTTAACGATATCATTTAAACTTGATTAAGTTGTACATATATCGTAACATTATGATTTCATCACAATCTAATCGAATTAATCTTCGCTGGAAATTCATTACGTAACTGTAGAGTTTTAAGCTTGCAAACAGAATAATATAATTTCATCATAACTGTAACTATACCTAGCAGGAAAGTTTTTATTAGCTATGTTAGTAGCACAAAAACTATATCGAAAAATTCCTAGAGTATTAAAATGCACTATAAATGATCTCTAAATGAATGCACAATTTCAATATTTATCCATGGTACATAATAATTAATTAATTAGCACCAATTTTCGACATATCCTGGCTTACATTTACAAATATTCTTCCTTTTCTCGTTACATAAGCGATAAAGCCTGGAATTTATTTACTCTCTATTTCTAAATTCTATTCATGTATGATATCAGTACCACCACTGTGTGGGTATTTCTCTTTTTTAGTTCTTAAAGTTGAATAGCAACCATTATTAAGAAATGACTATCGTATTTTGCGTTTAAATACTAATATCACATATGGAAAAATGAATTAATAGAAATTTTAATCGTCGACTAAATATTATTCTTACTGATGTAGCTGTCATTCGATTTTTCATAATATACCATACATTATGCCATAAATCTGTCACTATTTTCCAAGATTGAATTCTAGCCTAGGTCACATATCTTTCCTGCTATCATATTTATAGTAATCGGCTGTTTTATATTGGTTATATTACTTCTTGCAAAGGTACAGTAATCAATAAAACGCATGTATTTTTTTCAATAATTTCCCCTGATAGAAAAACTGTTTACTGCACTATTTGCTAGCTCTAAATGACTGAGTATTAAAAGAGTCATCAAGATGTGCAAATTCGATAAATAAATAAATCGGAAGGTACTATTTATAGTTTAATATTCCTATTTAGATTTAAAAGGGATCTTCAGCTGTCCTATTTATTAATGATAAACGCAGTAATAAGGGCACATGTATTGCGCGTAGAATTAGATTAAGATCAGCAAAATAAATTGCCTTCATAGCGAAATCCTCTTTTGAATTCTTTAACTCTTTAAAGCTTAACACCTAACATTATTAATATTTCATATGGATCAATATCGATCCAAGACGGGAAAAGGGTATTTACTACGGGGCTTTCCGGAAAACTGCTAGGGTTACTCTTTATGTCACAGCCTCTTTCTGAGATACTTTCTAGAAGGACTTCGATCATTTCGAGGTTTATTAGCGATTATTACGATAAATCTTCTAGTTACTGAAGCTTTATATCGATCGGCATCTATCTAATGCAAGGTAGGACTGTTAATATAGTTTTCGGTCAACTGTATATACGTGTATATATAGATATTAGAGCGGTTTAATATTGAAGTCGCTTTCTTGGATAAAGTTTAGAAGAATTTTAATCATTTCGTGCTCACTGCTAACCGCAATGATTGATATTCTGAATCAGTATGGAATTTTCTTTCTTAATGTCGATCAGTTTAAATTTAATAGCGGACTCATTAATACCTAAATGACTTATTTATAACTTCAAGATTAAAGTTACCTTGTAAGTTAATTTATAAGTAATTATTTTTCATATCGATAGCTAACTAATTCCTAATATTTATGCTATGATCAGTTCTAAGAATTCTTAAGTCTAACGGAATACTTGTACATAGGACAATTTTATTAAATTGGCTATAAAATTTATTGGAATTAAAATTACCAACTCTAAAGAATTTTTTGTAATGTGATGACATATGATGATTAGCACAGTAGAGTGAGAATTTCTGGATTGAATGACTCTCTACTTTCGATATTGTCATGTTACTAACCATTTTTTAACCGATATATTACTAAAATTATTTCATTTTACTTGTTCTATCACATTCCACTAGACAGCAAGACATAATCGACTTCTATTCACACAATTCATTGCTGAGAAAATTGGAAGACTTTTTTTCTACTTCTAGCCGGTATTGATATCAATTGTCTCTCTACAAATAGCTTTTCATTATATATATAATTATATACTCATATTGATAACGAAAAGAATATATTATTTAATTATTGGAGGTTAGTTATAGCAATAAAATTCATTTTACATTTCATAATAAAACGTAAATATCAGGGGCTAAAGAGGAAAGTACACGTTAAAAATTTAATTGCCCTATAAGCAATAATTAATATTTGTTTTACAGTAGAATTTAATTTTTTTCAATTTTATCAATATTTATCCAGTTTCATGGTATAATCTCTCCTAAATTCTGCGGTGTTATCAATACTTTCCTAATGATAAATTTATAGCATGTGTATCACTGTGCGTAGATAGATGTGATAGTGTAATTGAAATAATCAATATTCCCTTTAGATATTAATCATATAGTATTAAAAAATTGCATGAAAATGAACCAGGTTGCAAAAGATTCGAGTTATCGGTGCAGCAGTTGTCGATGGTTTTACGTTAACCAATATATAATGAATCTAATGGCATTTGATATATGACAGGTTCGATCTTAAGCTATAAGTTAGATTTTCGTCAGGAAGATCCATTCACAAGAATGATATCAGTGTGATAGGTTTTAATATGTATTTTGGTTAATTTTAATCACTTTTAATTTGAAATGTAACGGCATAATCGGACTTTCAATACAATTTCACACGGTTCATAATACTTTTGATCGATCAGTTTGCTATAATAATTAATAACTCATTCGATTATAGATAATTAATGAAGACATTGTTGAATCAAATACAGTGAATGAAGTTTAAAAAGAATTTTACACTAATTCTTTTGTTATATACAAAATTTTATAAACACTACATGTCTAATTAGATAATTACATTTAAAGTGAAGATGATCAGAGGCAATTGGAATCCAGGGTTAAAACACTGATAACCCGAAATTATTCTTTAAGGTTAATAGATGTCAACGGAGTCTATTCCCCCTTTTTAGGTACAGAAAATTTCTACGTGTGTAATACAATGCAAAATTTTTCTAGGAGCTGAATGTTATTCTTTAGCGACTGTCTAAAATTAACAGTAATTAGGAGAAAATTTCAATCAATAACCAGCAGTATATACTACATATATTTAAAGGGGTATCGTTAATTTACAATTGTTATGAACAAGTAAAATTTACTTTCGCTATTACATCGTGTCGTTATTATCCAATATTTTTTGTTCCTGTACTGTATTAATAGAAAAAGTAAAATTTCATAGAAAATATTCCATACATTCGTGTACTATTATTCGTTGTAAAGCACATTAGGTTCCTCATAGTCTACCAACTTAAACCGAATGGACTCACTCTCTAATAAGAAATTTTGTGGTAAATATGCTTTCTTTTACTGAAGACGAAGCATGAACTAAGTGTTTATTGAACCTGGGCTTGATACCGTACTCATTTTTCTACAGTAATTTGAATATCGTTACTATTTCGTTGAAATTAGCGATGGCATAATTGATTATTATAAGTGACACTCTCGTACTGGATAAGATATTAACATTCTTGGCTAGTATCGCATACAATAGGGGTAGGGAATGTTGTTTCGTGAGATCCGATGGTTTATTGACTGACATAAATACTGTACTTTACCTAATCGACCGTTTCCATTATTGTTCAAGATTCGGATAATGTATTTGTATAATAATATAAAGGGTTATCGACAATTTTTAGTCTTCACTTGTGTAGGTTGAGTATGCTCATTCCTTTAGGCGTATGGGAGGAGTTAAATTGCTAACTACAAATATAAGGATGTTATTCTTAAACCAACAACTCCAACCCAAGTTTAAATATAAAACATCTGATGATGGTAGCGTAAAGGGTAAAAAAGTTAACGAATAGATTTAAACTAGATAAATGCACTGTTTGAAGAATGACACTTATATAAAGCTTGCTATTTTAACCAACAGCTCGAGTCCGAAGTACGAATAAAAAGTGTATCATGCTGAAAGAATATGAAGTAAACTCGTAAAACTTAATTTATTAACCTAGGGTAAACAATAAGAAATTAATCATATTGCTAATGGTTACCAGGTAATGCGTGTTATAAATACTTGTAATAGTTGGTCAACAAAGTCACTCATCCAAAAGTTACAGTTTACTTATTCAGTACGATAAGGATTTCATTTGAATCTGATCATTGCAATTATTTTTATTTAATAAAATAAAATATAGTTAACATTTGTTCCTACAAGGATAGCAATATCTTTGTAAAATATTTTCAGTTGCAGCTACACTATTCATTCTAATTTTATTACAGCAATTTATGTATTATTAGTAGCATTTGCTCAGCTTTTCAGGATTTTTCGACATTTACGTTGTTAGAGCTTGCTTTTCAACAGTTGTTGCAGATACTCGGTATAACTGGAATGGACCTGATTTAGAGAAAGATCATTTCAATTGATGAAATTTGAAAATTGTTCTAATGATTTATTATAGAAATTTACTCCTTGTGAATGTCATACTAGTAAAATACTACCTCTGTTTTATTTAACGGTGATGATTTAGCCCAATTGTATAAGCGGTTGTATACATCTCCATCATAGGCGCCAAGAATTGAGCGTAAATACTTATCGTCGAAATCGAATGCATCTACTACTGCCACGGCATTACGTCGGACCTCCGATAGCAATTGCAAAATTTTAGCTTTTACAAGATTGAGTTGTTCGCCAGTCATAAATCCGCTCTAGAGATATTAATTAAAATGTCAATTATTAAAAATGGTCGCTTATATTCTAATGTTGCATTAAGTGGTTAAGATAGCCCTGATAGATCTACTATTATAGTATTACAATGAAACATTCGCAAAAGATTAGACTCCAAATATTACGTACTTCCAGAAAGTCTCCGGCATTTTCATCTATGCCATAGTTTCCATACAATAGAGCGATTGAATTCATCACTTTACGTAGAGATGGAGTCATATTCAATTTCTCCAATGATCGTAAATAATTTTTTACAATAAAATAGTGACAATGCGCCTAAAGTAGTGTCAATTAATATTATGCTTAGAACTATTTTTAATTTATAAATATGAAAGAATGAAATCAATGATAGCCTTATTGCATAGTACTAACAATAAATTACAACGATCAATTGTAAGATAATTTACAAGTTTTTTCAATTCTTTCATGGTATATTTAAGACACGAAATGCTGTACTAGTCAACACATTCCAAGGTAATTATATAGGCACAAAGTATAAATATGATCATACAGTAACTATCGACCTTAGCAGCTTGAACAAGTTCTATTCCTGCTGTATTCCACGCTTCATCTTGGTCCATCCCACTACGACGAAGTTGTTCTAGTCTCTTAATCGTGCTGATAACTTTACTAATGATAAATTGAAAGCGGAATAACAGCTTTTAGAGCGTTACACTTTATGCAGATCATAATAATTTTATGGACTGAGTAAGATACAACGTCAATTATATTTCTATAAGCAACTATTAAATATCTCTATTTTGGTATCAATCTACTATAATTATCTATATGATACAATAAATAATGTTTTATAATATGATTGAGATGTTTAAATCATATACGTCGTATATTAGACTAAGCACCTCAACGCTCTACGTTCGAAAGCAGTTATTAACATATCGTAATTGGACAGATCTTGCAGTGACTGTACTTTCCACTTGTCTGATACTTGTGGGTTTCGTAGATAATTCATTGTATCTGGAGCTTTGTCAGGATTGCGGAAACATTTTAGCAAGTACCTAGTAGTCGATTCAGCAGTAATATAACATAAATGTCGTTAGCAAGCAGATAGATTTAAAATATTCCAAAATGCGGAAATATATTGCAATAAATAGTTCTTTACCTGGCTGCTTGCAAGTACATTACTGTATTTTCGCCTTCCAGTGTTACGCAAGGTAGCACATTAGCGTAGATATGTTGAATGCCACATGCATTTGAGTATCCATGACCACCGCAAGCACGACGACAAACCTCAATACCAGCCGTTGCTGTATCAGTGGTATACGCTTTTAAACCAGAGCTGATACCATGCAGCTATATAGTAAAAGAATTGGTGCTTAAGAATTGCTTGTGGATAAGATTAAATTACATGAAGAATATGAACCACAGCATGAATTATAATATAATATATATATATATATATAATGAGTCAATTTAGATGATGTCTGTAGCTAACTCCATACTTCGGATAAAGCATCAAGTTGTCCACTTGATATTTCTGAATGTATTTTGTTAAATGTGTCAATCATGTAGTTTCCAGCAAAGCCAAAGGCGAGAGCTGTAGCAAGCTGAGGAAATAACTTATATTGTTGCGTTACATAATCGAGGACCTGAGGCTCTTTTCTGTTAAAGAACAATAGTTGTATCGATTATAACTAAAATATAAAGACTAATAAGTTAAGAGTTTTAGTTGTGTAAAATTTAAATTTAAATACTTGTCCTACAGAATTGAAAAAAAATTACTTTAGTAATAAAAGCAACATTAAGACATGTCTTACCCAGGAGCAGTTTCAGTTTGGTGTCTTACAGCACTGTAACGAATAGCTATAGTACTAGCAGATGCAAGTGCCTTTGCTGAGCCTCTAACGAGAACAACACGGATTAGTGTCATAGCACTGTAGGCAACCTTTGCATTAGTGGGTGGCAAATATTTGCCTTCGGGTGTAACCTAAAGAAAAATTGGCTATTTAAATCGAGTTACCCAAATAGATAGTACTTATTATAACGCATCATTCATAATTATTATTTATAGGTGATTACTTTTGCATATTTCATTAGCATATTTTCACGTGGAATGTGAACATTATCAAGCCGAAGAAAACCGTTGTCAACGGTATCAAAACCAAATTTATCACCGATATCACCAATAGTAACTCCAGGCAATGGTTTGTGATCCTTTAGATCTCGTAATTGAACTATGAACATGTGGATTCCATAACACTTGCTCTTAGTATATAATTGGGCAGCAATTACTGCATGATTGCTGGTTCGACCCACTGTAAGCAAAATTGATAATGTTATCAATTATCATACAAGTAGCTTAATGATCTACTAAATTCGTCTATTTCAAAGAGACGAGAATTCAAGTATTTTGTTAATATATTAACAATTACGTCTTGTACTACATGAGCATTTCATTATAGTGACTATATACTCTATAATTTTTCTATAAATTGAACTAACAAAATCCAGGCCACCATTTGGTTGAAGTTATAGTAGGAGAATTTAAGATAAACTCTTGTTTCGATTCGTCATAAGTAGCGGTAGTTTCCAAGCCGCGAACAAAGGTACCTTTGCGTAAACACGTATTATAGATAATTAGAACGGATAAACATTTTCTTCGGAATTACTTTTGCTAGCCTTTCACGAACTTGTATGTGCAATAGATGTACTACTAACTATTATTGTAGTCTGGTAATAGTTACCATGTGCTAATTCAGTTTGTGCATAAGTTCCAAATATTTTAAAATTTCGGGCTAAAGGTATCCACTTTTTCTGTTGTTCCTCTGTTCCTTGATCCTATACATGTATAAATAGATAAGTAATGAGATAATTTGCGATTATATCCTTGCATATGAGAGTTATATACTGTATATTCAGTATATAATTTTCACCGAAATCGAAGACGAGAACATTCCTACATGAAGGCCAACAGGTATTTCTTCTGGAATGCAACTGCATGAAGAAAATTTTATTACATGTTAACGATCAGTTAACCAATTACCTACTTGTCTAAAAATTCTCAATATGTAATCCATATTACAGTAGTATCTACTGAAAGACGAACTGCTCACTTACCCGACTAATCGAACGTAGTCTGGATTATCATAGCGGATTTCGATGTTCTCTTTTTTGCATAATTTGATTAATTCACCATATACCTTAATGGAATAATCATAGATCTCTTCACGCGATAGCTGAAATCGATCCTGTCGATGAAAGGCTGGAGTATTAAAGACCAATGATTCTAAGAGATAACAACGAAAGTTAGAAATCTCAAGTACTAGGTTAACATGCTAGAAGGATTTCCTATCCTTACTTTCAAAAGGTACAAAGAAAAAGCTTTACGTTTACGAGATCATGCTGGGATAATAACAAAAATATAAATAAGATTTATCTGCAAAGGCACAGTTAATATATTCATAAAGACAGAAAAAAGAGATAGTACGCGGATATTTTACTTCATGGAACATGCTATGAGGTGACATGTCTGCATTTTCGTCTCGTTTTTCAACGATGGGATTGTATGGAGCACTGATTAGGATCATGTCTCAAGGCCAAATTGAAAAGGGTCGTAACGAGGTATGAGTACAGTCATGGACTACTAGGTCTTCTTCTAGTAGTCCATGGTAGAGTGGAGTAGATATTGAACATCATGCTATTTACCGAAGAAAGTGAATGAAGACAAACTATCGATTTTATATCGACGTTAGTGGTGGTCTGATGGTATAGGACCAAAGCAGTAGCAAACTCTTGAAGTGAGTTTTCATATTTCTACTTTCTATCCCTAGACATCACTACAGACTACAGTACTCCAATTTTTACTCACATTACGTAACAAATGGTATGATACTGTAACTAGGATAGAAAGGCGGCTGAAGGGAGTAGGCAAGAGCTAAACCATGAGCAATTTGAGCAATGAGCATGGATAGCTTCTACTTATCAGAATGTTCAAACGAGTCTTTGCAATTTATAATACCTATTGCAGGTTGGCATAGTATTTTTTTATAATAGAATATCAACTGCAACAGTGGACTCCTATTCCAAATACAGTTATTGAATTTCGAAAGTGATTGCATCTTGGTTGCAAAACGCTGCTTGCTGTGCAAACAAGATCTGTACTCTATCGAGATCAATCGTCATGACAGCAACTAAAGTGGCCAATAATTAAAGATCGTCTATTTCAGAATGGCTTATCCTAACACCCTAATTGAATTTCTCTACAATAAGACATATTGAACTGCTGCAAATCGATGATGTTGCTGTGCAGCTGACGTCAGTACTTATGGGGTACATACTCGTATGTAGGGTTAAGACGTTCTTCTAACAAAATTTTCCATTTTTGAACTACTCAATTTGAGTACAAACCAATTTGTTTGCGCTTTCTCGTTTCTTCTGGGCCACCATTTAAGGTATCAGTGAGCTCTTTGATGTTAAATGTTGCATTCTTTCTTTCAGTTTGTAGTGATTCGCTCATTTTGTAGAGTAAAATGATTTTTTTTTTCACTGCTTGAAATGGATTTGGTTAGTGAACGCGTCCTCTTCCAACACGAACTGCACAATAGTGTACTGTACGTGCGTATGTTTAATGTCACCAGCGATCACAGTACAGTGTACAGTACAGTACGCTGGTAGTCATACAGTACTGTAGTCATATTGTACAGTACAATCTACAGTACACTGTGGTGTACAGTGTACAGTACTGTACAGTACTGAACCTTTTCTTCTACTGTATTGTTTGTTTAGAACTGGGGTCATCGCGTCATGGCTGGTGATGAGTTCAACCTTAGTTCAACCTCCTTTGCCTCAAAGGAGGGATGAGACTACGAATGCTTGAAATGTTTGCTTGACTTCACACACGATTCACTCTATCATTGGCGTCATTGTGTTCTTGCCATGGTGTGGTTGATCACTCAAAATATGGAATGACTAAGATGAAAGTGGTCGTTAAATCAAATTTATAGAAAGGTTGCAATGGGGTCCTTACAGTGCAGTGAAAAGTTGATTGTCTTGTTCACATACAGTATTACTTTAGCTCATCAACCCATGCAATACTAGTTAGTATAGCTCTGTCACGATCTGCAATGGTCACGATTGCAGAATCGATTTTTAGATAGGTAGTATTCCATAGAAATGACTATCGCAATGACAGAATCTTGAACCGCAATAAGGTCAACAACTACGGACAGTGTTAAAAGGGGATCATGGTTGGATAACACGGCTTGAGGCAGCAATAAGGACGACATACGACGATTCTTAAGCAACAGGATATCATCATGGCTTAATCAAGATCAACACTACAGTATTTTAGAAATTTAAAAGGAATACAGTAGGAGTTCCTTCGCTCTTTTAAGTACAGTAGATATTCTATACATTCTTAACTCAAGCCTGGAGGTCATCACCTCGCCAACCTAACCCTGGAAAAGGTCATCGCAGAGGTCATCGACAACGCCAACCTTGGCTTGATGCTCATTGGTTGCTGTTGCAGTCATTTAGAATGAAATTTTTACTCTACTGTTTATTGGTTAACAGTATATATAACATACATATACAAAATCATCTCATGTAATTTAAATGCTGTACTAATCGATCTACTTACTATTCTACCACTACTATGCATGCAGTACGATATCCTCGGTGCAAAGCTGTAAGCAAAGGGCACATTACCTGCATTCAGTCCGTACTGTAATCAATGCTAAGTTTACTTTCTCAACGTCTGCCAAACCGTCGTACTGTACTTCACCATGCAGATGTGCAGGTGGACATGAATCAAGTGGATTTTAATGGTAACGTTATATAAACTATCGCCTAGCATACCATACCAATGCCACCTTGACGCTAAGCTATTACAACATCATGATTGATCAAATCCTAACTTGACAGACACTGTACATTATATTTACGTATACTGTACGACGACGATGCAAAAGCTTGGCAAATAATATACTATAATTGATAATTCTCAAATGTGTCAATATACTCATCGAATAGTGTAAAATTAAATCATCTCGACAGGTGATTGACAAATGAACAAGTTCTAAGATCAACTACTGAGAGCTTTAATGCCTAACGTATGATGAATCGACAGTTACATTTTTCATTTACTGCAGTTATTAAACATTATGCGCATAATTGTTACTAGCTATGCGTATGACAAAGGGTTCGATAAGTAGCGGTAGCGGACTTTAGTTGCCCCTCAGAGAATTGCATCAAAGATTTTAGTAGAAAATGGACATTTTATTGGAGTAATACATCATAACTGCATTCAATATGATAGTTACGGTAGAGCCATGTAAGCTGTCGTGAAGTAACGACAGAAAATGCGAATTCTGCGACTATTGCAATAAATAAAATCGGAGAAAGAAATCGGTAGTATTTACAGTTGTGGAAATAGCACACATACAGAGCACAAGGTTGTAAAATTACAGTAAGTATAACATATACCATAATAATTGATGTACGTAATAAACAGTAAATGACTAATCGATCTCTCGCTCGCTATACTTTGCGTCTTATACTATACCAACAGTACTTATACCTTTTACTTTGCATTTTATTGTTACGGAGAACCCCGGGAATCAGTTACTCCGTTATCATGGAATCACTGCACACTGGCATATTATATGCATATGACTTCAACTGATTATAATTATTGTAGTGCATATACTGTACAATGTACACACACGTATTATTATAAAGCTAGAGAATAACCAAGACTGTAAATGTTATAAATAACGAAACATGACAAGCTATATTGTATTGATCGTAGTGCAAACACTGTTAACTACCTATAGAATACGGTCCGTCTACTGCACAATGCGCCCATATCGTATACATGAATAAAATCATATATCATATAGTGGCTATCAGCCTTGTATAGTTAACATACTGTGGGACGTTGACGATAATACATAAAAATGTAGCAGCGGTATGAAGTATTTATACCGCAATGTTATATATTAATCGCAACGTAAAAGATGGCATTATTGAGTGTAATAATGGATACTGAAAAGCATTTTACATCATGGACTAACACCAATGAAAATAATTTAGTTAACTTCAGGAATTACAGTTTACTCTGCAGGATACGTCGTAAGTATTTGTAGCTTGAATGAACCTGTTGAAAATGTTACACGAGTCAATAAACCACAATAAAGTGACAATTGTAAATAATAAGATATAAGGCAATTCTATACATTAACGAACGAAACCTTATATTGATATATTCACTTGATTTGTAAATTTGAAGAGTCTACGTTTAAGTACTGTATTCCTCTCCTTCAATAATGCATAGATATTTAAGTATTACCTCTGTTTTATTTAGGGGTGATAGCTTAGCCCATTTAAATAAACGATTATACACATTCCCGTCATAAGCGCCAAGAGCTGATCGTAGAAAACGATCATCAAAATCAAATGAATCTACAATAGCCACAGCGTTTACTCGAATTTCCTTCAATAACTGCAATATCTTAGCTCTTACGAGATTGATCTGTTTACCATTCATGAACCCGCTCTACATATATATATAATTAATGGCACCGATATAAAATCAACTAAAATCTGGGTATTCTCATTATGCATCCTGTAAATTATGCATTTCTTCACTGCATAGAAGAACGATTATTTTTTTCAAATTAATTTAAACGTAATGAGTAAAACTAATTATCTAAATCTAAGTTAGTCTTTTAACTGAAAATCATCCACATACCTCGAGAAAGTCTCCAGCATGCTCGTCAATTCCATAATTTGCATATAATAGAGCTACTGCAGTCATCACTTGACGTAGAGGTGAACTCATTTTTAAGTGGTTTAATGATTGCATATAATTTTTTACGATAAAGTAATGACAGTGGGCCTAAAATTTTAGATTAATAAACAATAACTAATAATATTAAAATGGGCAATCACTTAAATATATCTGCAATCATTGCAGTGTATCGATAACGTACTGTATTATACCGTGTAATAAACAATGCACGAACACATAATAACAATTACGAGGTTAAAATATTTACAAAATTATCAGTAAAATCTAGCTCTCTTGATTTATTATGATATCCGGTGAGTTAATAGCAATATCAGAAGCTAAAGTTATATGACTATATCAAACCTTAATACTGTGTAGAATGTCCACGCTAGCTGCATTCCAGGCATCATTCCGATTCATCCCATAGTGCGTTAGATTTTTTAATTTTTTTGCAGTACTACTAATTTTGCTGAAGTATAAATGTATATCGAACAATTGAAACCTTAATTAGATATTAAAATCATTGCTTTTGTTTATTAGTTTTCACTATCATATTAGTAATAAATTAATTAATTAACCTTTATCTTGCAAAGACACTTTATGAAATAACTGGTTTCGTAAAATTGCCGGCAACTTACACATATATAGTACCTCATCGCTAAACTATCGGATTTGTACAGGTATAGACTATATTTTAAAGAGTTACCTTAGAGCTCTCTGTTCAAAAGCAGTTATCAGTGTCGCATAATTGGAAACATCATCGGCTGATTTTACGTTCCATTCCATCTTATTTTGTGGGTATCGAAGGTAGCTCATTGTTTCAGGGGCTTCTTTTGGGTTATCATAGCATTTAAATAAGTATCTATGCGCAAATTAAAATACACATATAATTGATCTTAAGTGAATATTATTGCTACGTCAAGTTTGACACTAGATTTGCTTAATTTAAATATAATATTTTATCACGTGAGTCAGAATCACCTCGCAGCTTGTAAATACATGACTGTATTTTCACCTTCGTACGTTGCGGATCCTAGCCAATTTTCATAGAAGCGTTGAAAGCCCGATGCATTGGAGTAACCATGACCGCCACAGGCACGCCGACAAATCTCAACACCTGCTATCGAAGTATCGGTTGTAAAGGCCTTAAGACCAGCGCTAATCCCATGCAACTACAAAATAAGTTAGGATAAATTAATTAATTAGTATAATAAGTTCGATATATAATCCTGATAATAAAGCACAAGGGTACAATATCACTAAATATCATAAATTAGTGAAGTTTTAGTTTGACAATATCTACATGTCTAGCATACCTCCGTTATGGCGCTGAGATGCCCATCAAAAATTTCAGATTGAACTTTATCATATATTCGATGCATATAATCTCCGGCAAAATGAAAAGCAATGGCAGTGGCAATTTGAGGGAAGAGCTTAAATTGCTGTGTTATATAATCTAGAACTGGAGGCTCTTCTCTATTTATGAAAAATTGATTCGATGCGTTAGCGATAATTTTACGATAATTGTCGAAGGCGAAATACATTACACAGATTGTTATATGCCAATTATATAATTATTCTTTACTGTTAATTGAAGTACAACTGTTTTCTTAAAATTTTCAGTGCTGTTGTATTGTGTGTACATTAGTTATTATAGTTTTACCCAGGTCTGATTTCTGTTTGATGCCTGACAGCACTGTATCGAATAGCTATAGTACTAGCTGCTGCAAGTATGACGGATGCATCTTTTACAAGATCAACGCGGATTGACGTCATTGTCCCATAATTAATTTTTGGATTTACCGGAGGAATGTAATCACCTTGAGGAGTTACCTAGCGTATAATGATGCAATAGAACTTTAATCATTACGATAGATTTCACATTATAATTTCAGCAATTGTAAAGTAAGGCCATACAATTATGGATTAACAATCAGCTAACGAACACGCATATACTTTGACTTAAGAATTATGATACAATAGAGCCTTTAAAATATTGTGATACATGCCTTGGCGTATCTCATTAGCATATTCTCATAAGGTATCCGTACATTATCTAGGCGAAGAAAGCCGTTATCTACTGTATGGAAACCATACTTATTTCCAATGTCACCGATAGTCACACCAGGTAAAGGTTTATGATCTTCTAAACTTCGTAATTGCACGATGAACATATGTATTCCATAACATTTGCCCTTAGTGTATAACTGAGCAGCAATTACTGCATAATTACAAGTTTTACCCACTATAAAAATAAAAAGACATATATGACATAATAAATAAATATAAAGCAATCTGAAGACAGTGGATTTTAGTCTTATTGTACTACTTAACAAGATTTCTCCAGTCATTATAGTAAAATACTATTATAATTGTTATCATGTCTCGCATTATACCGTAAATGCGCTATTTAGAGGTCATCATTATACACGTACATCCTCCTGGCCACCATTTCATGGAAGTTATTGTAGGCGAGTTTACAATAAATTCTCGGCTAGATACATCATACGTAGCTTTAGTTTCCAAGCCGCGAAGAAAGGTACCTAATGATTACAGTTGGTTAGTTACAGTTAAATGTGAGGATGTCAATAGAAACTACAATCACATAGTCTATAAAGCAAAATTACAGGTATGAAATGTTTATACTAAAAACATTAGGTAATCGAATATCTGTGCAATTTTAGCTCTAACCATGGCCTAACTCAGTTTGTGCGTATGTTCCCAAAATTTTTAGGTCTTCAGCTAATGGTAACCATTTTCGTTTTTGTTCTTCTGTTCCTTGGCCCTGAAAGATCCAAATGAAGTATACATGTACAATTGTACATGGATAATTTGTGTTGTGATTAATTTAAAGGTTACTTAACAAGTACTTCAAAATAGTAACAAAATTTTGATTGAAAAAAATAAGGTACTTTTAAAAAATGTTTATACCCTGATCGTTGGTATGAACATTATTACATGCAAGAAGAAAGGCAACTCTTCAAGAGTAGAGCTAGGCAGGATAACAGAAAAGGCACAAAAGTTCAATTGTTTGAGTGTGGATTGATTTTTACGCATTGGCAAGATATATTAACAATTATACAGCTGTAACCCTACAGTATGGTTAATTTAAGGTAATACTGTACTCACATGTTTAAACGAGCAAAATCGAGGCTATCGAACTTAATATTTTTCCGTCTGCATAAATTGACTAGCTCTCGCGTTTTTTGCAAGCCACGTTCATAAACTTCTTCTCTTGATATTTGATATCGGTCATCTTGACGGAATACAGGATTATTATACAACCAAGATTCTAAGACACGGTGAATAAATCCAGGCTTATTTTTATTATTATAATGTTGTAATTTTAAGGGTTTTATAGTTCTAATACACTCTCTTAGTAAATATACATTTTACACATCATCGAAAATTTTCCTCAATGATGCTCTCTAATCTTTATCATAATATATACAGTATAGTACAGTAGATGGCATACTGTACATTGTACAATACATATAAAGGTTGATATATTCTTGTGTAGATGTGCTGATTTTAATAACATTTGTACGAGATCGTATACAGTAATCGAAGAAGTTGTTAAAGTTGTTAACTTTTAGTGTCTATGCATCTATATTAGTATAGCTGTAGTATAAGGAGTTTTGCATGTTTATGGAGATTTGATAGATAGACTTTCAGTGAGATCAATGAGATATACGTGAGATCTTAGAGCTAATTAGGATACAGTAACGAACGCGAGGAAGCTCTTGACCAAAGTATGATAGTCTAGATAACTATTCAGTACACAGACAAGGAGATAATAATGTACCAGTTATAAAAATGCACCGATACTATGGACTCTATAAGATACAAAATATCGCAGTTATAATTCAACGTATAATTACAAGGACCTATGAATATTTTGATTTCGTATTCGTGTGTATCTGATTAAGATTAACTTTTATTTACAGGCTAACCAGTTAAACGGAATAAATTGTATAATTATTGAGCGCTATTATTAATAGATTTCCATTAGATACGCGGAGATTAGAGCCCAGTGACTTAAATTATAAAACGTGCTATCGTATGCACCATGTTTTGTAAAGTAATAGTAATAGCAATGATTCCTTTTCCAAGCTTGCAAGTACATTACTCCATCGGGATTCGGAATTTATCAATAACCGTACAGCATTTTGTTCGATACGCATAGGACAAGAATATTTTACCGTACTTAAACACGTAAGTCATGCATGAATTGCAGAGATTTTATTTGAAGACAAATCGATTAGCGTTCGCTCATTGGATAATTTAAATATACGTATGCGTATAATATACGTATAGCTTACTAGCTCTTTCAAGTAAAGGGATGAATCAAAAGCGATATAAACAATTTGCACAACAGTTTGATAACAAGCTGCTATTTAATTTGGTAGGGATTGTTAATTTTACCTAATTCTTTGCGTCTCTTGGTTTCTTCCTCACTTCCATTCAATAAATGGATCAGCTCAGTAACATTAAATGTCGCCCTCTCTCTTTCTTTAAGTAGCGGAGCATCCATTCTCCACTTTAACCTTATTTTAAGCAAGGGCTATCCAACAAAAAATTTTTACTTCTCTCCCCGCTCACTAACTAATAAGGCTACACCCATTCCGTACCTGTCTATAGGACAAGGATGCCACGCCTTACCGTATACGCGTATCCACTATACACTACACAGTACAGAACAATAACTACATTATTTTGATATGGTATGAGCTATGATTGATGTTGCAGCATCTCCGTGTAAGCAAAATCACCATATTTCCAGCCTGAGTTTGTTTCTAATCCAATCCCTCATGCTAACGTACCGTGCATAAAGAGGGACGATTCAGTGAGGTACATGCCCAAAAAAGCCTTTCCGGGGGAGGCCCAGTGATAAGACATAAAGTACTATAGATCAGCTTAAAATTATACTGCATCTCTAATAATAAAGTTTATTATATACCTCAACAGAGCTCATTAACTTTACATTAGCTAACACGGTATCACTCATACATGAACCAAATCAGCGGATAGAGAATCGATTTACATATTGATATCAATTATAATTAAAAATAATATTAAAAAAAGTTAAACGCATTCTGTAATACTGTACACGACCGTGTTTTGACCAGCATTTATGCTCATAGTTGGTATTTATACATTGTCCTTGATGATAATCAATAGATCGGTATAGTAATAAATACTTGTCATAATATAGATACCGTAATAAGAACGGATATACTATATCTAAAAACCCAGGACAGTCGCTCGTCCAAATAGATCAAAGAACATTCTTTGCTTTGGTATCTGTTTTCGTTGACAGTGTCGTACGTCAATATACGTCAATTACTCAAATCAACATAACAAAACGCCTATGGAGACAATAACCTAATAATTCTAAATGCAATACGATGTCTGCATGTTGTACTCTTATTTAATTCAGATTTACTTCTCTACCTTTATTACTAATAATATACAATATTGATCACTAGAAATACATTACGAATCACTCTTATAGCTAATACGAATATAGTAAAATTGGGTTGCCAGATTGATAATTTACAATTAGTCTTTTGTTAATCGGAGGATCAGATACGTTATTGACAATTATAAACAATGTCATATGCCAAGGTGTAGTCGTAGCTTGAATTTAATATTTCTCTTATAGCTTTCCTTACAGATTTGGCACCAGATCGATTAACCACATTGTTTTATTCTATTCAGTGTGGTACTTGACTATATTTTTCGAGGGAAAATATATATTTAGAATTAAGATATCTTGAGTAAAGCGTAAGAGATATTCGTTTGTCAAAAGCTTATTTTAATATTATAGAGTAGTAACTTCAAATAGAATTACTATTTTAATACTGACCTTTTCTCGGCCTCGCGACTAGATGGTAGGTAAACTTGAAAGGAGAAATCATTTCTTGAAAACGAACCCTTAATAAAAACAGATAATAGGTTCGAGACAGAAATGACAAATAACAATTTGCATAGACTATCCTTAAACGATCTAAAGGAGATATTTTATAAAGATTTCAATAAAGTTAAGTGGCTTACAGGATTTATAAATAAGCTTCCAATTCGAGAAATCTCAAAAGGTTCGTAATTATTGGCTAAAACGACCTATACAATATACATTATGTTTCATACGTGTCTATGCCGATATTACATTGGTAATTCTCATAATATTACATCTATTAAACAACTATACCAAGTCCGGCGATGGGTATAAGCTTAAAGCATAAGAGTAATTCCAATAAACTGGCGAGACATTTAACGGCAAAGGACACAAGGTGCCTTGAGATGTAATTGTCCTTACAAACTATAAGTTATTCCTGCTTTAGTATAATGTACATGTATCATATGCTACGAACCTAGTACTTTGCAACATAGCTTAAAAATTAGTCTGTACATGTGATGGGATATCCTCTCCATCTTCTGGGATGTGAATACAGTTTCTGCAAACTTTTCCAATCATATCCTCTCGAAATATAACGATATCTTGTGTACAGTACTGAATACTGCAAAGCCATAATCAAAAATCATTGATCACACATAAAATATAAAAACAACGTGGATATTAAAAATTAATTTTACCGGCAAGGGTTAGATGCAAAGTCTACCCACGGAAGCCTCTCTCTTATATCAGCGGTTACCGACTCAGGAAGTGGAGGTCTAAAAAATCCAACATAAAATAATTCATATATTATACTATAATACGTATGTGCTCATTCAAGAGCAACAAATAAACAAGTGAAAAAAAAATAAATATCTTTACAAACAAACCTAGGTAAGATATTCCCAAATCCTACATCATGGATACTAGGGACGAATACGAAGTGACTTCTAGAGATAACATTGACTAGTTACTTCAGGATGTGTTACTTTTACTACTATTATTGGCAATTCGTTTAATACCTTTCTTTGATATTGGGAAATTCGCAAATTAAGTCTGCTAATGTTTGAAGACACTCTACGTAACGGAGCAGTAGCAATATTAGCATTTTTGACTTGGAGGAGATAGACAGAAAGTTACTATTCTTCGCAGATAATCACCTTTCATAATTTTAGATTCTTTGTACCCGTATGGTGTAGAAAGATAATTTCCGATTAAAATAAAAGCCATAGGAGGAGCATTTGAATACCCAGCAAAAAGAGTACGGAGTTTATCTAATACCTGGTTATAGTAAAAAACAAATTTTCTAAAATCTTGCAATGTATTAGCGCAAAGTAGCATACAAATATATACAGTAGTGGATAATTAATTACAATGACAGAAGAAAGCAAGACTAATGAAAAGACAAAAATTTGTTTCATTATTAGGATAACATACACTTGATTGATCGAGCCAGACATCAGATAAAAAGATTAGCATAGTACCAGAATTATGCTCTTCAACTGCTTTTAAATTAATCTATATGAAAAAAAAATAATTACGGTACAAATTTGTAATCTTAGAGATATAGGTATAACTCAAAAATATTTGAATTACCGAAAATTTAAAACTTCTAGTGAAGGGACCACCGAACAAATTAATATCACCGAAATGTCGGTAAAAGCTTTTAGCAGGTTCAGCTGGTGGAAATCCAATAGCTGAGGCCCGAAATACGTCATCTTCGTATACACCCTCCGCCAATACAAAACATGCTTCAGTAAATAAGCCAGCGTGAAATAAGGTCTTCGATATATCAAGCTTTACTATTCCGGTAATGTCCTCGAGAGCGAAACCTCCCTAAAGAGTGGAAACAGGGCCTCTAGCTCAGCACCTTAAGTACAAATATAAAGCTATTTTGGGTATTATACAAGTATTACCTCCCTGTGCCTTGTAATCATACCAAGCACTACGATTTTGTCTTCTATTCTACTAGTTGATAAAAGATATTCTATGGATTTTAACTGTGAAAAAGAGTAATTTGATTTAATTATTTATATTCGCTATTATCTATAATCGCGATGACATTCTTTCTACCTAGAATAAAGTTATCCTATCTTACTTATGCACAGCTATCGATTCCGTGTAATATAACCTGTTGACTCCTACTGTATAGCATAATATTTAAAACGGTTAAGGCTTACAACTTCTCTACCTCAAATTGTTGTTGCTGACGATATTTGTCGATATTTTTATTACCCGTAGACGACGGGCAAAATAGATCATGACGGATAGTTCTCTAATTACGAGTAGATAAGGTAGTAACTTTAATCAGTACAGCAGTATTTGATGGCGCTATATCAGTCAATCAGTGCTATGATTAAGAATAGATCTTATTCTAATGTAATATCCTGCATTGATCATAAAGTCTAGACGATGGTAATTACCTGATAGATAAGGTTATATCTTTCTCGAAAGTATGCTGCCTTGTCCTTCGCTAATCCAAAAGTGTTAGTATCATCATTGCCACTGATGTATTACAATTAGATAAACGTTATCAATAATTAAAGAATGTGTTGACGGTCTTTTTTAAATTAAATAAAAACAGCCAGCAATTTTTACGGCTATTACCGTAGGAATTTCTTTTTTTCCGTATTATAATAATATTTTGGAGTTCTAATAAAATCAACGCATTACATAGAGAATAACAATGTTTAATATCAAGATCGAGGATAATTTCGTTTTGCTAATTAATGTTAGATTTTAGCTATTCTGCAATAGCAATTTGATAGTAAAAGTAATAGAGCAATTGAAATGATATACAGGATATCAGTAGATGTTTCCTTACTTGAAGATATTAATAACATTGAAGATTTTGCTGTAGTTATGAAAGAGAAGAAATAATGATGTGATAAGTTAAAGCATATTGGACACACAGTAAAAGTACATGTAAAGCATCATCTGCATATTACTGAGCACAGTAACATTAATTTAAACAACGGGCAATAGAGATGATACCGTTATTTATGTGCTTTAGAAAAGTTACAGTTTTGCAGCTCAATCAGTACCAGTCATCTAGCACACATGCAATGCAACAAGTGGCTATGAATGAAATATGCTAACCTCTGCTCGTCATGAGAATTTTGTTGGCATTCTTGAATTGCTGATTCTACACGTCCCTTGTCGATAATAGTAGACGATGCTAGGAAATTTAATTTAAGTTACTGTATTATTTATAAAACTTTCAATTTAGTTCGTCTAAAATATTTAAGATCTTAAGTTTGGCGCGAAAATCGAACATCATTGCCAAATCTGTTAGCTACAAATGCAGAGCTTACTAACAAGGTTGCCTTTGTAACGCATCGATAATCAATTGCAAATTTTCATTTAATTTTTCTTTATTAGATCCATGTGATATTGGCAAATTTTCATTTAAATATCTACAGGCCTCACTAATGACGAAGAAAGCGCAGTGTAAGGCATAATTCTATGCATATACGTACGTCATTGTAATCAACAATAATAATATAATTATAATCAAAAGTACGTACACTTAATTCTACTGTACTGTAGCTGGATGTAGCAGGTTATACCAAACATCAACCTGGTAACTTATGATAACTAGTATTCAATATTATCGCTATAACATAGGGTAGACATACACTGCTGTAATCTGCCCATGTACTGTATGTTGTAAACGCATAAAGATTGATCTAACATCGATGTTATCACACTTCGTTGTCGGAAGATTATAGTCAGAACATGACCGACAGTTTAGCTATAGAGGAACACTGCTATATCAACTTCATGTAGCAACTTGGCAATCGCAGCCGTCCTACGGTTACCAAATATTTCTTTCACTATACGAGCTCTATCATAATGTAGCTGTGTCATATCAGTTCGTGTCGAAACTTACCTACTAAGTAGTAAGCCATGCAACTTGAAAGATTTAATGATGATGCCATTATAATTTGTGGCCATATCTATTGAGAGAGGGTAATTTGTTCGAAATGAGTTTTCATCGTCTTTGGCGGCAATACTGCACACAGTGCACAGTACCATACCGTACAAAGTGTACTGTACACTGCACTGTAAAGAAGAAGCTCTACAGTACTGTACTGTAGAATGGACAGCCGGATACAGGACTGTTCTATCCGTATCGGATGGACGGATATTGGGGCGTCAAAATACTATTGCAAATTCTTTCCAGTTATTGATATGCCAATATGGCGATACTCGATTAATCGATTTCATAAAGTTCTTCTTACATACCGCCGTTGTATTATGCAATATCATAAATATTCTTCAATTAGTAAATACATTAAGTATTTTTCGACATTTTGGCCTTGCCTGATCAAGTAAAGCCCCGTTCATTCAAGGGGGTTTCTACTCCTGGTCTAGTAAAGTACTGCAGCTACTGTGTGCAGTCCATACGTTTTCTTTTCTTTTAGATTGCACACATACAAAATTGTTTGGTATGACTGGTCAATGGTAGGATTGCTCATATTTGTGTTTTGAAAATTGAATTAACTTAAATCCTTACTCCAGAACTGTAACCTAATGTGCTTGTATAAGTAACTGTCTGCACTCTTGCTTAACTAGAGTTCTTCATGGAGTGTTGGACCAGTAGGCTGCTGCACTTAGGGATTATTCAGTCTAATCACAGACTCTTTTGTCTTGATCAATTTTTACAAACTAAGCTACACAGGAATTAATGAATGAATTAATAATTTAATTATTTCAAATAATTATTTACACAGTGTAGAGAAAACTTCTGCCCATGTTTACTTACAGTACTGTACCATCTAATGCACTCAGTACTGTACCATGGACTACTAAACCAATCTACATTAGCAGCTAATTTGGATATCAATCGCGGACAGATTATTGCCCTTACCATTCAGTTGAAATGGGCAATCAAATAATCAGCCTGCACATTATTAGTACAGTCAACAACCGTTGGCATTTTAACTAGAAATACCAGTAGTATATTTTCTACATACAGTACTGTCCATACTGTACAGTGTACACTAAACGGTGTGCCGTTTCCTACACTACAGTACAGTAGATTCAATTAAATACAGTCTACTACCAACTACCAAGCACAGCGATTTCCCAACGCCCATGCTCCGAAATAGTTTTATTAATTTTTTTTTTATTTGGCGACACGTGAGAGTGCTTAACGGTCGTTCGGTAAGTTGTCTTGCTTTCTTTAAGAAATGGTTAAATTGAGCCATTAGAACAAAATTGAACCTAATGATCGAGTTCTAATCGATAAATTAATAGATAAAATACTGATCGAAATTTCCTAGACTGGCTGCAATGATATACAGTACTGTACCTGTCGATCTTACCTGAAATCTATTGTTCTGTACAGCACGATAGTTCTCTTCATTTCTTGGTAGTAAATAGCTGGCGATTGTAGCGTGCTTTAGTCTACGATGAACTTAATCCATTTCGTAAATATGATGATTGGTTTTGTAAACTAGTACGTTATTATTCAATCGTATGGAGAAAATGATATCAGATAGTATGGATTAGCTATGTTTAGCCATCATGATCTTACAATCGCTTGCAACTGCAGTTTCATGTTGACAATAACACTCATCGTGAATTGCAGCAACGGATCACAGTACTAACTGAAAGTGATCAACTCTAAAAATAGACCTACAGTATCATATTATTCGAGCCAGAAGACATTTACAATAGCTTATATGCATCTGTGATCTTAAAACTTTAAAATAAATCAATTTTACATTACAGTATCAGGTTGAAATCTCATGGATTCCTTATTTTCTGGATCGCTATGTCTTATTATAACTGGTGCCAGCCGTGGTTTTGGTCAGGCAGTCTGTGTTAAATTTGCTGAGGCGGTGACCAAGGGGAAAGGAAGGGCTAAATTCTTTCTCTTGGCACGCAACGAAAATGGACTAGCGGAGACAACTAAGTTAATAAAAGAAGTTTCTAAAGATGTTGAGGGTATGGCCATCATTTATAATATGTTTACAGCTTACTTTTAAAATTACCTGATATTTTACATTTCTACAAATTTTTACATACATATACACTATCATGAACAATTATGATAGTTACTAATGTTAACAAAACAAGTTTCTAAAGATGTTGAGAGTATGGCCATCATTTATGATATGTTTACAACTTACTTTTAATATTACCTGATATTTTACATTTCTACAAATTTTTACATACATATACACTATCATGAACAATTATGATAGTTACTAATGTTAATAAAACAAGTTTCTAAAGATGTTGAGGGTATGGCCATCATTTATGATATATTTACAACTTACTTTCAATATTACCTGATATTTTACATTTCTACAAATTTTTACATACATATACACTATCATGAACTATTATGATAGTTACTAATGCGTTTAATTCAGATAATTAGGAAAGAGTATTATACATTCTAATTTGAATATGCTATTGGATGTTAATGATAGTTACATAGGTTAATTCATCTCGCTAATACCATTCAAAATTGTGAATGAAATAAATAAAAATTAATCTTGTTCACTATTAGTTCAAGTTGTATGCGTGGATGTCGGCAATCTGTCATCGTTGCCTGATGCAATTCAAACGATAGAAAGTGGATTGAAGCCGGATGATTACCAAAATTCCATCTTTATTCATAATGCAGCCTCTTTGGAAAGTCAAAGTGTTGTTGATACAGATGATTGTGAATATATTGGAAAATATTTAGACCTCAACTATACATCTTGCCATTACCTCTCGTAAGTGTTATACTGGCAGAACTTTAATTATCTTAGACTATTTGATAATTGAGCTTGTAATTTTAGCATATTGAAGATATACTATTTCTCTTAAAATGGAGTAAACTGAACCAAGTCATGCAATAAAATATAAATAAATCTAATTCAATTGTTACCAATTATTAACATATGATCGATGTAGGTCTAAATACTTGCAGTTGTTTAAAAATTCCCCTGGTAAAATGCATTTGGTTAATATATCCTCAATATGTGCGCTAGACCCTTATAAACGTTGGGCTTTATATTGCTCCATGAAGGCGGCCCGAGACATGCTAATATCAGTAATCGCTAAAGAAAATGTAAGTACTGCGCGCTAATGTAATTAATTGATGCTATTCAGGAACTGTGTTATAATTCTACTATTCGGTGTGAGGAAACAGGCGATGCAATGTCGTATAATAATCACCTAAAATACATGAATTTGGAAAATATACCTAAAGTAGTACATAATATTATTCGCTGACGTAAAAGTTCTTCGGTATTTACTTTTCAAGTGATGTTGTTGATTGATTTATTACAGCCATTGGTTAGAGCAGTCAATTATGCACCAGGCCCAATGAATACAAAATTGCTGGTTGATGCTTTACATCGCAATGCTGATCCATCCATTAAAATTTCGTTACTGGGTGCGATAGAGAAGGTATTGTTATTTGATTTCATTACTTCCAATTATTAAAATTGAGTATAAAGAAGAAAATGTTATGGTGCGACTAAAATTAAATAGCTTAAAGCGAACTGTATCTAATGAATTCATGCTGTCACTCCATGCTTACAAAGTTATTTATATCTCACCTTTTTGTAATTAAATTGAGCAGAAGCAAACAGTGAATCCAATGGATTCAGCGGCCAAATTGGCAAGGCTATTAGTGGAAGATAAATACGAAAATGGCACTCACTTTGATATCTTCGATGATTTTCCTCAGTGATTGCATTTGGTCACTATTTCTTTTATAAACTAATCGAGCACGTCATGATCTGGAGATAAAATTAGCTATTGAATTGATGTTGTATTGTATAACGCACTCAGTACGTTAGATAATGATAACATTTTAAATTGTTCATGCAGTTGTTGTGGTACTGTATTTGGCTCATTTTCTAGTGGAGAATGCTTTAGCATCACATAGATTCTTATAAACCAAGATCAATGAGGGGTATTAATGAGACAATACAGTTCGATCACATAAAATAAATTTTCTCAACTTACTAGATGTTAGCTACAAAAACTGTTTCTGGTAATAATTTCTGATTTCCTTGTAACAACAAATAAATCTATGATATGGAGAATCGTAATTAATTGTATAGGCAACTTTTCTAGAATTGTTTAGATTTGATCTTATTAGATAGCAATACTTTATTTTGCGATATACGATATGCAATTGTTTTTATTGATGAAATTTATGCTAAAGAAACGTCTCGATATGATTATACTAATTTACGTGTATTTCTGTGTACAGTATGTTACCAAACGGGATGCATATTCTACGGGTATTTACGTACGGTATAGACAGGCATTAAATTTTAAAAGATAAAGTAACTCTCTTGCCTAAGCTGGCTACGTAGACGTTCTTGAATACTTTTTTAAAGTGTTGAATAATTATTCTTCTAATTTACATTGTAAGAAATTGTATATACGGGTACTTATCAAAATCCGCTATACTGACATAATACACATGATACATATAGTTAAGAGTCATAATCAAAAAGCATGCAATAAAATCATGTTTGTTTGAGGACGAACAGTTTGATATCAGTACAGGATAAGATTAGTTGCAAAGTGTAGAGTGATCCGATATATGCCTGTTTTTTACATAATTACTCTAGTTTATATATAGAAAGTTTTAGTACAACAGAATGTTATTAGATTAATATCAAGTAAAAAATTACACTAATCTTTCATCAACTGAATATATAACGTTATAATAAGGTGCTCTAATAGTTAGAGTTTTGCCATTTTCGTCAATTGTAGCGTTATCGCCATGTGCAAATTGAATTTTTCGATTGAGTTCTTCATCTTTCATAGCTAGAATGTGCGTACCATTTAGAGTGTTGCTGTTTAACTGATCATTGGGACGATAAATATAGTTGTTATTATCCACGATGGGATCTTTTCTATAAGTAATGCCGTCAGTATCCAATTTTGGCGGAGGATCTTGGCCGAATTTATATGAATTTGATATTAATTTACTACCTTTCTTTATAGTTCGGTAGTAAATATAAAAAGATGCAAATATTAGAATAAACTCCGCAAGATTGATTACAAAGAAGCCCAATGGCGTAATAATACACGATAGAAAGAGATTAATAATGTAATAAAATATGGGACTAGTTAACTTTTCAGTAAATGGAACATATTCTTGTAAATAGTTTTCATACAAATCAAGTGTTACAGATACGAAAGTAAGACTTAGTGCAAATAAACATAGTAAGAATATTAAGAAGTACGTTAAAACTGATCCAGTTAACTGAGTAACAGGATTTTCCTTGGCTGTTATTGCGATAGGAAATGAGAATATAGCAGTTACAACGGCAACAGTTAGGTACCATATGATTCTTGAACAGGCAGTATAAGAACGCCAAATGCTATCACCTCCACAAATATCATCCCTGATTGGCTTTGCTACAAAGTAACCATGATAAATGCCAACTGCCATCATGTAGAACGCACAAAGCAATACATATACCAACTTTAGATCTTGAACGCTTGAGTGAAAAGGTCTTACCACTACAGGCATACTAGTAGCTGTGGCTTCCGGTGTAATGGTGCCATATAAACAATTTATACCGTCATTTTTATTATCTAGGTTATACAAAATTACTACTAAGCAGGCTTGTGGCACTGCATTCCATAGAAATATAAAAAATTTTGAAAGTTTTGCGACAACTTTAAACGAATAATATTCCTTCATTGCCTCAGGATAATGAATTAAAATATAGAAACAAGTACAAAATGACAAAACGATAACTAAATATAAAAAGAAAAAAAAGCAGTACGCCCTCCGTTTATCCAGATAATCATTACTCAAATTTCCAACATTGTAAATAGATGAACAATTACTGCTAACAGTGGTTGTATTCAAATCGAATCCTGACGTATTAACAACTAATCCTTCGTTCTTGATGATCGTTTCAAGATAACTTGATCTTCTGTCAATATCAACTAAAAGCATTATATCAGCGATAAGGCCTAACAAAAATAACGGTGTTACACAGATCAATTCTAAAATTTTTAACTTTTTCCTTTCTTTAAGATCGTCAACGATAATCTCGAATCGATCTTTAAGGCTAAGTTGATACTTTTTTTGATCGAAAGTTAAGGCCATAGTAGAATAGTTCAAATAGCGAGATAATTATAAAAGGAAGTAAGGAAGCGGATTGAGAGACAACAGGTTATTACAGGTAATGAAACTTAATGTAGCAAATCAAAAAAACCGACAATTGTCAGGATATATGTTTTTTAAGATAGTTTCCAATAGCAGTGAAATCGTTATCAACACCAGGAAAAGAAAAGGAAGGTTATCATTTAAGATACAAGATGGCTCTCAGAATTTAAATAATTTAGATCAATTGTTGATAACTAGTATTAAAGGAGTCTTTTGATGGATGGATGTCCAAGGTTGATGTTGCCGTAGTAACTAGGAAAAGATCGTGACTGTATCCAGTACTATATTAATAATTTTCACCAATGTTAAATGTGATTCCTACTGTTAAGTACTAGCAGGTGATCACTTCAGCATGCTCTTGTGGTAGCGCTGTTGGATACGGAATGTGATATCACTTAAGACAGATAAAAGAATTTTATCATTACTACTCGAAGCTTTCCTTTCGATGAGTTTAATAATGTATGGAGTATTGAAGATAGATTGTGAACATGGTGTCAAAATAAAAAGAACTTACTTGAAATTAACACCCAGATCATTTTTTGATAGCAGTGCCTTTTAGTACCTTGTTCGATATTGTTATTATACGAGTTACTTAATTACCATGCAGTGCTTCTTGATACTAGAGCTATAATAGAGTGCTAGGATTAGTTTTGGGTACTAGTATAGTTTTATTACATAAAAATTTGAAATAGTTTAAAGTTAATTGGCGTTCTCTGTTCCACTATTATTATAGGATCATCGTAGTGCCAAGCAAGAAATTGTAATGTGATTAAAGATTTCAAAGTGTCGGTACTGTAAAATTTGTATCTTTCACGTGCGACGATAGTAGCAGAATATTGATTTAAGAGTTGTTACATCACTTAAAGACGTTATTTCCTTTTTAAATCTTGGCTTTTCATGCCGCCGAAACCTAAAATTAGATATGGTGATTGTGTGTAATTTTTTACAGAGCCACGATGATAATAGAGGACGACTGTTATTATATACAGTATATGTTTATTGACGAGCGTCTAGTGTTGTCGAAGAAGATGTTTAAAATAATCATGTATCATATATCCTGAGATGATGTCGAGGCCGAAAAATTGAGATGATATACGTTTCAACCGACTGTTTATCGATAGCGTATAGTGTACGTACTGTATAGATAGTTGATAATATAAATAAGTTTATGTTTGTTTTACTGCTAGTTTGTGAAGCAGCTAAATAGCCATGATAAAGATGAACTATAGTACTATAGCCTATACCGTATACTGTACATTCCACAGTATATAGTCACATATACGTAGACTCCAGTGATTGTTAAGATGAAAGTATAAATATCCTGAAGTGTGCCTTGCGTAATTTATACCTCCAGAGTATATATATTATGTATATATATATCTATACAATATATCTCTAGATCAGTAACGTGGTATATGCAGTATACTGCATACGCGTATATATTTCACCAGACTCAGTAGTCGCACTCACACAGTCGATAGTTTGGAGAGCACCTAATTTAGTTTTATCTTTTATTAGTTAATTACACACAAGCTACCACAACAGAAACGAGAAATGCTAGCTACTATATACTTACTGTACATATGCCTACTACATGCCTAAGAAGATGTATGGAACGTACAATAGATGCAGTAGATTGTACACCGTACACTGTACAGTATAATCAATGCTACGATAATATTATGCGTAAATCTCTAAAATAATAATCCTAGTTTCCATAATAAACCACTAAGCCGAATTTTAAATTAATTATTGATCAGTTAATTATACATACTATAGATGTACAGACATGGACACTATTTTTATTCTTGACTTTATTTGTGATATAAGTCTTAATTATATTTTTTTATCGTTAAGTATACGTTACGCAACTTTAGTATATAAGCTTATATATATTAATTAATTTATACTTCAGACCCGGTTATAGGATACCAAACTACCAGTTGCTTCGTTAAATGATAACAAGTATCCTTTAATTATAGTATCCTCTGCATTAAGAAATTATTTGTATATTTAATAATTCACTAATTAATTAATGAAAGGAGAGTGCTTACGCATATTTCCGTATATCTGCTGTAGGTTGCTAGCAGAGATTAACAAACAGCTGGCTGAGATCAATCAGCACTGAGATAGAATAAGATAACTTGGCTTATTTCAAATCATTTATGCCACTGGGATCTTATAATTATAATTGCAAAGTCCATGTATATTACTATAGCACTTTTTACATTTTGCATTGCTATAGTGCAGGTAAATGAATTTACGATCAGCCATGCTTTCTCGAGTCTCTAATAGAATCTTGCTTTTCACTCTATAATGAACAATTCTCCAAAGTAATCAATAAATGCAAAGAAAAATTTATTCCAAATACTATCCAAAATGACTGTAAAATATTCGTAAGGATATTAATACCATGTTTAAGAAGAATTCTTAATAATCATCAGTAAGGTTGTACATCGACCATTTTACGGGATTCTGTGATGGGCTATTGCGGAAATAGGCCTGTTAGCGGAACTACTGAATGTATTGTAAGCATAGTGCTACTTGTTGGTTCGTGCCAGAAGTACCTGTATGCAAACTCACTCATTTTAGAAAGAAGCGGTCAACTGTAATCAATTGTAATAAGTTCGCGGTCTATAATTACGTACCATAAGCAGGCATACATCGAACGTGACACAATGAAAAAAAAGAATAGACTAAGGCGAATTAAGATTAATCTTAATTGATTTGGTAGTACCCGTTATAAAACGGATACAGTTCAAATTTTACAATCCACTCACATTCAATTTCCGAACTGAATATATATATATTGTGCGTATAACTTATAGCTGAAATGCTATATCGAAAAAATAATTTTACAACTTCAAATAAAATTTTATTCTGCCATCGTGTCGAATTTTAGCAATCAACTCGACTGGTTATAACCCTTCATGTCCAAAGTATCGAGTGTAGTGTGTCACCAATATACGGTATTCATTACTGCAGATTGACTGTTTAACACTTCAAAGCCGGTTGAAAAGCCTAGAATATCCGTAGAAATAATCTCATGCCTATTGTTGTCTTAAACAGCTATATATATCGTAGAGTAACTATGATTCTAAAACAGTTCAATTGATTGCATCAATGAATACGTAATAGCTCATCATAATAGACCACTACATCGAAAGGTCTTACTCATTCCTGTACCCTCAACCTATCTCTGCGTACAATCCTTAAATACGTAACAACTGATTGCAGTAGGATACACTCTCATAACCAGAGACTACAGTACTGTACTTGCAAAATTGCATTGAAAAATCTGTTGGCGTTAGAGTAAATAAGGAATCGTTTTCGACTAAAAACACTTTCAACCCATTGACCACTTTATCAATGGAGTGCTTTCCAGTATGGTACAGTGTACAGTACATCGTACTGTACTGTAAGCCTTTCAGAAACGTACTGTAGAGGGTGTAGACCGTAGAGGTCTTTATGATCTGGCCTGGTCTGGTTCGGACCCTAGTCGAACTCGACACGTACAGTACGTATAGTTACTCACTCAGTGCTCAATGTACTATACAGTACTGTACTGCAATGAATATCCTGTTATCATGACAGAGTCAGACGTATCCGTTAAGAGTTACGGCAAGTTAACCGTAGGTTAGCATCTAGCCGTGAACCTTCACCTTTCACCCGAAATAAAAGCATTGTACTGTAATCCGGGGGCTTTGGGAGACAACCCCCAACATCAACCCCACAACATAACGTTGAATGCTGAATGCGTTTTAGAATGTTAAAATACTATTCTAGTAGTATTTACAAATAAATTGTCGACCAGTGTTATGATTGTGGACGCTCTATCTTAGTCTTTAGAACAAATACCCTATAATAAAATAGATGACGAAATGAATCCATTCGATCAGGGACTACTAAAAGAGAGAATTCGTCGATTCGCGGGACCCCATGAACGACCCTGATGTCCATGATTATGTAAACGCTTTGTGGTCATAACGTGCATACGTGATAACGTGATTCTAATGTGTACATTGCACAGTGTACAGTACCTTCCTTTGACGATGTTGTACTGTATCATACGTACTGTACACTGTAAAGTACAGTACTATACTGTACGTAACGCCTGATCTTGCATTACGGTACAGTATAAAATAAATAAATAAACATGCGCTCGCTATTGATCCTTACATACTGTCCAGTGTGCGGTTTCGCTGCCGGACTTTCTACGGTACAGTACGGGTGAGGATGACCTGCTTTTACGCTTCACCTTACCATACGGTACAGTACAGTGTACAGTGTACAGTACATGAACTCGCTGACTCGCAGTTCTACTGTACTCTGTACTGTACAGTCATACAGATTACCTGATCCGCCTTGGCGAGTCTTCGTTACTCAGTTGCAACAGCGCAGCACAAGTATGGCGTCTCCTAGCAGCGATCTAGACCGCGAGAGAAGAAAATGCACTTTTAACGTTGCAGAACTAACGGATATCGTTAATGGAGGACGGAAAAAAACCGAAAGACGCCGATATCTGGGTTGGTTTATACAATACACGTACATTGTACAACTTGAATGATTTGCCATCCATATCAAATTTGGATTGATTTTGCACAACTCCCACATTGTTGCGGCGAGGCGTTGAATCCAGACTCTACTGTACCTTATTGTAAATGCAGTATTCCCAATTGCTTAGTATAGTAATGCATCTCCATCGACATTTCTTACCTTATTCGATTTCGAGGATAATATTGTTATACTGCCTTGTAGTCACACCTTTCGACGGCTATGGAGGTAGAGCCTACTGTCACCTGGTCAGTTCTTCTGTACTCAGTATGATTCTATCATGGATTCACTGCATCACACGTATTCACTTACTCATTACTTTACTGTACAGTATGTACTCTTGCCGAAAAAAATCTCACGCTCATCTCCAAATTTTCTTCCACAGT